AGGCCACCAGAGCTTGCCACAATCAATTTTTATGCATCAGAGAGTTGGACAATGACCAAGAAGTATAGAAGAATAATTGATGCCTTTGACATGTGGTGCTGGAGAAGAGTATTGAGAATATCACGGACTGCTAGGAAAACAAACAGATTCTTCCTGGAAAAGGTTGAACTGGGTGGTTCCTTGGAGGCAAGGATTCTGAGGCTCCGTCTAACATACTTTGGACATGTTGTAAGGAGAGACCGGTCCTTGGACATCATGCTTAGGAGGGTGGAGGGACAGCGCAGGAGGGGAAGTGCTTCTATGAGGTGGATTGATTCAGTGACTGGGATAATTGGGATGGGAGTGTCAGAGACAATGCGTTTGGCACAGGACAGAGCAGAGTTCAGGGCTGTTGTACATAGGGTCGCTATGAGTCGCAAGCGACTCGACGGCACATAACAACAACATACGCTGGGGATGTGCCCTGTCTCCATACCTTTTCAATCTGTATGCAGGACAGGTTATCCAGGAGGCTGGGCTCTATCAGGAGAAATATGGCATCAGGATTGGAGGAAGACTTATCAACAATATGTGCTATGCAAATGACACAAACCTGCTTGCTAAATCTGAGGAGGACCTGAAGCGCTTGCTGCAGAAGGTCAAGGATAGTACCTTCAATATTGATTGAAGCTCATTATCAAGAAAACAAAGATTCTCACCACTGGGCTGATTGGCAGCATCATGATAGAAGCTGAATAGATTGAGATTATAAAAGCTTTAGTTTGCTTGGCTCCACAATAAACACTCTTTTCACCAGCAGCCAGGAATTTAAAAGATATATTGCACTGGGAAAGTCTGCTGTTAGAGATCTCGTTAGAGATCTCTTCAGAATACTGAAGAGCAGTGATGTCAGTCTGGAAACTAAGTAGTGCCTAATACAGGCCATGGTCTTTGCAATCACTTGCTATGCATTAGAGAGCTGGATAATTACTAGGGATAATAGGAGAATTTGATGCCTTTAAGCTGTGGTGTTGGAGAATAGTATTGAATATACCATGGACTGCTAAAAGAACGAACAAGTTAGTCCTGCAGAGGCTAAAACCGGCCTGCTCCTTGGAGGCAAGGATTCTAAAGATTTGTCTGACATACTTTGGCCATGTTGCAAGGAGAAACCAGTCCTTGAAGAGGGATGTCATGCTTGGGAGGATGGAGGGACAGTGCAGGAGAGGAAGACCCTTGATGAGATGGATTGATTTAGTGACTGGAGTAATGGGAATAGGTGCGTCAGAGATAATAAGATTGGCACAGGATAAAGCAGGGTTTAGGGCTGTTGTACATAGGGCCACTATGAGTTGCAAGCGACTTGATGGCACATAACAACAACGTTTGCCCAATAAAAGATGATGGTAGATTTTGAACTCAGACCCTCTATGTTCAGAGCTCTTGTAACTATGTCCTATCTCAGATTGCAGGTTCTGTTCCAGACCCCCACAATAAAGCGAATACAACAATAAAATTATTTATATGGCTGTTTTACTTCCTAATGCATATGAAAATTGTGTTTCCACTAAACTGTATTCTGTTAAGTATGTTAATAGCATTATTTAAATGTTTGAAACGTTGAAAATTTACCAAACTGGCAGAGAATCACATAGTAAGCAGGTGCTGTTGGCATAATGGTGCCTGTGTACTCCAAATAGTGTTCTTCTACATACCTTCAATTTGTAAACAGACAATAATGTCTATGCAATAAATCAGTGAATGTATACTTGTTATTCAACTTCCCTTTCCTTCTCTAGGCAGAAATTAGTTTCAACTAGTCATCAGGGGGCTCTGGTAACTTAGTGGCAAGAACTGAAATGCGCACAGTTTGGATCCACCAGCTGCTCTGGGAAAAAAAGATGGGCACTCTCTTGTGCAATTTACAATCTCTTTAAATTTACTGGAGGGTCAGATATGAACTGAGGTATGATGTTCCAGTACTACAGTATATAACAAAAGACATTAGAACCTGCACCATGCTTTCAGTCCTAACTAGATTTCTCCTCAGATCCTTTCCTTTCTCAACTTCCTACCAGTCACCAGAAGAACTTACAGAAAACCAGTGGCTCACAGACCACTCCTTGGAGGAACTCTGAAATTGCCACAGAAGTATTTCTCATTGAAGTAACATGTCTTAAAAGTTCTACTGTTATATTACAAATCAAACATTCTTCCTGATTTTTTTCCCCCCATTAAGCAATTGTTTCCTGAACAAGCATAATGTTTGCTAGACACTCTTAGGTGTTGTGAATACAGCCTCCTTGATATTAAGCTGGAACTGTCTCATAGCTGACCCTCTATTGGATTTCTGGGGCTGGAAATTGTACAGAAGATGGCTCATCTTTCTCTCTTAGAGTCAGTGGTGAATTCAAACTACCAGAGAGGCAGTCTTTGCATTACCAATACAATTAGTAACACAATTTCCTTTAGAATACACCAGCAGAGCTAGCTCCCTACTGTGAACACAGGAATGTATATGACATGGATTCTGCCCTTAGGAAAGTTTTTCCCAGTCTTTGATGATAAGCCTAATGTTCTTGCAGTAGCCAATCTTCTACTTTTTCTGTGCCTTTCCAAAGTACAACTTCCTTGGGACTTGGCCATGGATGGTGAGATATCTTTCTTGGCAACTCAAACCCCTGTTGTCACTGACTTTGTCTTGTGTTAGCTTTCTCTCATTTTTTGATCACTATTAATCCTGTTGTATGATTTACGTTTTTGTTTTAAAATTATTTTTTATATTAATAGTATTAATCTGGAGAAGGAGCTCTGGTAGCCTAATGGTAAGAAGCTGTGCTGCAGTCCGAAAGCCTTCAAATCTACCATCTGCTCTACAGGAGAAGGTTGGGCAGTTCCCTTTTGTGCAAAATACTGTGACAACCTTATGGAGGGTCAGATATTGGTCGGTTCTGACTCAGTGGCACAAAACAACATTGGTTAAAAAACCTTAGAATTTTAAAAAATAATGTATAATAAACAACACAACATTACCCATTACTTTCCGTACTAATTATTAATGATTCTGTGCATTTATATTAATACTTAAATGTCTTTTACATAAATGAAACCATGCATTATTTTTTTTCAACTTGATAATTTTTTGCTTAAAGTCTGTTTTGGCTATCCTTGTCATTGCACAAAGATCTTATACCTTTCTTTTTAATAGCTATGTTGCATTCCAGTTGTTGTTGTTAAGTGCCGTCAAGTCGCAGGAGACTCATAGCAATCCTTTGAAGGAGAGTCCTCGACACTTGGGTGCCTTTCATCCTCTCTCCAGGTTCATAGGGTTTCCAGAGGCAAGCTATTATGGAAGTGGATGCCACTCCTCCTTCCAAGCTTGTTTTAATCGGGGAGCTCCACCCCACTCTCTGTCCTCATTGGGTAACCAGCCATTAACACATTTGACACATCACTGTCACAGTGTTCAGCCTCACAGCAACCACAAGTGACCACAGTACGGCAACTTGTACACCAGGGCTATATGACCTAGAGGGATGTCTGAACAAAACCAATGAAAGACAGACCCGAGGGCCGCGGATTAAAAGTCACCCACCTTTGGCTTGGTAGCATCGCTTTCTGTCCACTGGGCCAGCTGCTCTCTCTCTCTGTGTTGATATTATTGTTGTATTTCAGCATTCCAGTATATAAATAAATAAGATACTTGTGTTATTGATAGGTATTTACATTAATAAATATTGTTGAAATAAGATGTCCCTTTGCATCTATTTTTGCTCAGCTGAGTTAATTATGTTTGTACGATCAATTTCCAGAAGTAAAATTGTTGGGTGAATTATAATTTTTGCTAGCTGCTTGTTAGGTGCCATCATATTGACTATGACTCACAGCAACCCTGTGAGCATCTCATCTGAATCTTGCCCTATACTCTTGCATCCTTGTGGTCTCTGTCCAGTTCACATCCATTGTGGTTTTCAAACCCACTATGTCAGTCCTTCTCATTGAGAGTTTTCTTCTCTTTCTATCCATTGCTAAATACAGTCAATTAATTGCCATTTGAAAAAGTGGTGCCAAGAAGTAAAAAATGTATGTAAATTCCTGTTTTCTCATCTTTTGAACAACATTGAGTATTATCATCCTTATTAATCTTTAAAGAGAATTGTGTCTTTGTTTCATTTAGGAGTGAGTTTAAGAACTTTTTTCATTTCTTGTAGACATTTATATTTGTTTTTTCTATGAACATAATACATACTTTTTGTTCATTTTTCAAATGAACCTTTTTAAAAATTATGTATCTGCAAAGTTTTTACTGTATTAAGAAACTTACTTTTTTGTCATCACAAAATTTATTTAGTTTGTTGTTTTTAAAATATAGACTTTGAGATTTAGTAGTTCAACCAACGTACTTTGTAGTTCAATCAACTTACTTTGTAGGTAAAAAAAAAAAAACAACTCAAAGTAAGCAAGTAGTCAGATAGTATCAGAGTTGAAACCTGTATCAAGTTTTGTTATTTTCTTCATTTGGTACTTTTTCCATTATAATATGCTATTTTTAAGGTTTGATATCATCTCACTTCCATCATCACTTTTACCATTAGATCTTTCCACACACAACCTGGTAAAGTTAGAAATTCACCAGTCTGGCATGGAATAGAAAGATTCAGAGGGTTTTAGGATTTTACAGGAAACTAAGGAGCATCACTTGTACCTGATGTATGCATAGCTGTATGACTGAACTAGTTTCTCTTGGTGACATTTATGTTCTGGCTTTGTAATTATTTTTTTTTAAATCCATTTATTTTTGCACATTTTCCTTCCTCTCTCTCATTCCCCCTTCCACTAGTCCACCTTGCAATGCACCTCTTGTTCCGGATGGTTGTCATACATATAATCCCTAATCATATATTCTTTTCAAACAGTTCTTCCCCTCGTCTGTTTCAATGCAATTCGCTATCGTATAGTGGTCAGTACTCTTTGTTGTGTAATTATTATTTTTAAACAACAAATCTGGTTTTGTTTTGTAGGTTCATGGGTGTATGTGTACATCAAGGACAATTGCATGCACTTACAGAGGTAAGAGTTCAATTAGTATCTTGAAATTATTTCTTTGCATTGGTTTTAGCATTTATGGTACTAGGACAAGTTGCTTATGTAAAAATGTACAGCATTTGTGTTTATGCAAAAAATGGCAATGCTTTCTTTTTTACTGGAGTACAGTGACGACACCTCTTAAAATCATTGGGTTCCCTTCTAATCCTTGGTGAACACTTTGAGAATATGAATCTCAAGTGTATTGACTCTTGATGGCTGTATGACACCTTAAATCAGGTTTTGCCGCTCTTGGCTGCAAACTTTTATCATGATAACAAACCCCTACTACATTATGTCCTGATCTAAAACTCCAGCACTACTCTGATTTCCTGATTGGTCTTATTGGAATAAATTTCCATCCCTAGGTTTCTTTTTCCTCTCTCTCTCTTTTTTTTTTTTGTGCCATTACTTGGATACAAACCCATCTCCAATTTAATTTCTCTTTCAGCCTCTGCTAGGCAGATATATATGTAACAGTAATTACTCATTTTCTGAAAACAAGAGAACTCTTTCTAGAACAGAATTTCCCAAATTTGAGTAACAAGTTAATCATCCTCAGAATTTGCTTAGGAGCTTCTTAGGAAAACAGATTTCTGGAACCTTCTCCTAAATATAGTAAGTCTGAATCTGACTTTTCTGTCTGTATTCTTAAAAGCTCCCTAGGGTATTCTGGTGAACATGTCAAGTTAATTTATTTCTAAAATGTTTTTACGTCCTTTTTGAAGTAAGTACCAAAATGTGAAGAAACTTAGAAAGGGAAATTGTTTAACAGAATTTGCAAGAGTATTGATTTCCTCCTGGCTTGGTGCCCAGTATTAGTCTTTAATATCTTATGAAGGAGGGTCTGATATGCCACACTCTGTCTCTTAGTCACTGAGGTACTAGAATGTGGAGAATCTGTAACTACATACTGCCATATGAAAAACAAAAGACGACAGAATAGTGAGATTTTACTTTAGCTGTATCTCAGTGCTTTTATCTGTAAAATAAAAATGACAAATTCACCCCAGGATTGTGAAGATTAAATATATTGTTGTGAGGAAAAGCAGCTTTAGAAAATGGAGATCAGAGGTTTAGATTTGGCTTTTGAGCTGTGTGGTGAACATGCAAGTAAAAATACTGAGTAGATGATTGAAAATACGTGATTACAGGATAAATAAATGGTATTTAAAGGCATAAAACTAGGTAATATCATTCCAAGGGGGTGGATAGAGAAGGCAGCTAGGAGCTGAGTCTATGCATCTTAGTTTGAAAGTCTGAGGAAAGAGTAAACTAATAAGGAGTAATTAGTGCAATGGGAAGAAATCCAGGAAAGTAAATTGGCCTGGAATGAAAAGAAAGCAGTTGAGGTTTTTTGTGGTTTTTTTCTTTTTGAAATTTTACTAATTTTAAGGAAAGTTTACAGAGACTTAGGGTTACCAGTCATTCATTGTTGCACTTTTCTCCCTGCTCATCCCCTGCCCCCAAATTCACTGTTCTCCTTGAAAAGAAAAAGAAAAACTCTTTCACTGTTATGAACTCCTCCTCCCAAGAAAGGAGCTTTGAGGAACAGGGCTTGATTAATTGTGGAAAATACTGCTAATAAAATAGTTCATGACCTAATATGAATGTTTGAAGATGAAAGAGAAAATGCTTATTTCCTAAGCATAGTAATAGTGCCTAATGTATAGTAGTTATTCAGTGTTGTCGTTAGGTGATGCCCTAGAGTTGGTGTTGAACCATGGTGATACTGTGTCCAACAAAACATTGTTCTTTCTGGTGACAGCCTCACAGTTATTATGTTTGAAAACATTGTTGTAGCCACTGTATCAGTTCTTCTCATTAGAGGTCTTTCTCTTTTATACTGACCCTCTACTTCTCCAGGAACCGGTCCTTTTTTTGATGCAGTTGTTGTTGTTAGTTGCCATCAAGTCAACTCCAACTCCAACCATATAAACAGCACATCCGAACCTTGCCCTATGCTGCAGCCGTCCTCACAATCTCAGATATGCTCAAGCCCAGTGTTACCATTAATTGTGTCAATCCATCTTGTTGAGGGTCTTCCTCTCTTTCACTTTTCACCTTTCCCAACAGGATGCCTTTTTGCAAGAACTGGTCCCTCCTGACAACATGCCCAAAAGATGTGAGACAAAATATCATCATCCTTATTTCACAGGTTGCACTTCCTCCAAGTCAAACATGTTTGTTCTTTTGGAATTTTATTTGCAAGGCTTGCTTGCTTGCCTTTTCTTTCTTGCTTGCTTACCTTGCTTTCCTGCTTTCTTTCCTACAAGAGTTTCTAGATTGTAAAACAATGTTTATTTTTTAAGTGAATTATTCTTACTTTTCAATAATTCTTTTTTTAATGAATTTTTTTTAAATGTAAAGAAAAACAATAGAGAAAAAGCCAATAGTCCCAGAGAGTATCTTACTCTACTTTTACTTTGTTTTTATGTGTGTCTTTCCAACTACTATTATTCAAGAACAGATGGAGTCCTTAAATATAGGCAGTCAAGGGCTATGATAGAGTCTCTAACATAAACAGAAGTCCAGAAACTAATTACAAAACAAAACAAAAAAGCCCATGGCCTATTGAGCGCTCTCTTTTCACACCACGGTTCAAAAGCATTGGTTCTTTTTATTCATTGTCCAGCTTTCAAATGCATAGGAAGCAATTGAAAATACCATCCATGCCTTGGATCAGGGTACCTTAGTTTTAAAACTGACATCATTGCTTTGGACAGCACTTTATTTTTTTTTCTATAATTATATTTTATTAATTTTCATAAACATTTACAGAGATTTTGGGCTTCCATTCATTCATTGTTGCACT